CACTTGCTCTATTGGAACACTTCTTCTGCCATCTTGATGATGATGTCACTATTCTATTTACAATAGCTCTTCGACGATAATAGTCGAAAGAAGTTCGAAACAGTGTTCCGAATCATTCTATTGCAGTGCAGAAAGTTCTGCAAGTTTCTGAATAATGAATCTAGCACATCTTTGGTCAACAGGGATGTGATTAACTACGTGCATAGATTACATGGAACTTTCGAAAAATATTACACTAAAATACCGGTAGAAATATGTATTTATACTAGTTATACATGGATGAAATTTGTGACTATTTCAGTCATTACACTATCTCTATTTGAAGAATTTTGCACAAAGCTACTCGAAGGCTATTTACGCTAGCCATACCTAATTTTGAAGTGATAAACTAAAGGGCAGGCAGCTAGTCATCACCACCCACCGTCAATTCTTGGTCTACTCTTGTCAGATCAAATAGTGGGATTTAACTTTCACTCTTATAACGCAGTCACGGGCTCAAAGTGTGGAGCCCGGTTGAGTATGGAGGCGGCAACAAGCACAAACTCTCGGATCCACAGTAAGGCACGCTAACCTGGGGGTATTCTCGTCCCATTACACTGTTATAAATGTTATTGGATTCGTAAGTACCAAAAATGTTATAAAGTTTTATTCATGTTAGGCCGAACCAATCTTGAATTATAATAATTAGGTAACTTACATGGATGTTGTAAGGTCGTCACACACAATCGTATATAAATACAAATACACTTTCAACTGTTATAGCGGAAAACCACCTGAAGTTGTTTACGTTTTTTTCCTGTGATATGTACGGTTCCTGAACTTGGATAATTGCTCGAGTCGAAAGTTGCATGTTAATGATTTAGACCAGTAACCTTAGAATTGGTTGTTTGACATATTCATTTCTATTACGTAATAACTTACAAGAAGTGGTTGATCCTCGTAAAGTTATTTTAACCATATTCTGTGTACTGTCTGTTGCAACACTATTTTCAATAGCGGTGAGGTGGGAGTTCATAAAATGTTTATTTAAAACATATGATATGTACCCATATTAAATATGTTGATGAGTCACCCTTTAATTCGAGAGGCACAGTTTATTCATGTTAACATAATCTCATGCTGAGTTACATGATTATGCAACTGTATTCCTTTCACACTATATTAATTTCGGTTGTTATAAGGAAACGTTATGTATAACCCTAATTTCTTTTATATCATTAAAATATTCTATACAAAATGATGTTATCACAAAATTGAGTTATGTATCACTTCACTTCTGCACAATGCAGCGTCACATATTACTCTTGCGATTTGTCATGATAGCTTTCGACTTGACAAACCAGTGGCGTGGCAAGGGTTCTCAGCACCCGGGGGCAAAGACACTTTTGGCGCCCCCACCTCTGAAATGTTTTGATTATTTGTTTTGTGCCTCATTACTCACTTAATGACAATGACATAAAGAATTAATTACCGCCTTACACAGGCCTAAAATAAAATCCCAATATAACATCTCACGATATCACAACTGTAAACCTGGAACTAATGAAGTATAGCCTATTAGGTATACTTACATAATTTGTAAACCATTTTGATATTTATGTCATCCAGTATTGTTCAAAGTCACATAGCTAGAGTAATCTTTCAAGCATGCAGAATAAAGTTTTGAAACTT